TATTTGTGTCATGAAAAATCGTCTGGCTTTCAGAAATAGTGTCTTTTCAGAAGTTTCGCAACATAACTTCCGTGACCTAAAAACGGTAAATTGTCTTTGGTTCACATAGAAATCGTTTATTTTTCTTCATTTTGCTTTTGTCAGGTCGTTGTCATCCACCTCAGTAAAGCTTTTTTTTTTTACGTACCTGTCTTCCATATATGAATGGTTTTCATATTCCCGTATAGTATACTATTCTCGCCTTCCGCTGTTCTTAGTGGCGACAACCGTCACATTTAGAGCAAACATTTCCACGAATACCAGTATTTATAGCGATAGAACTTGTAAATTTTATCATCTTGCCAAAGAATTTTGGCAACAGCTACTGCATTGTACTAGCCGCTTGTATGTCTGTGCAAAAATTTGAAATGCCCGTTAAAACTGTGAAATGATCGTCCTTTTTTTCATAAGATTCTTTGCTGCTGTGGAACTACTGTAGTTTTTGATGTAAGCGCAATTGAATTTATTTTAGTGAAATTCATGAAATACCAGTAAACAAATTTTTCAGAACCTTGGTATTTATATAAGCACAGTTTTTTTTTCGACGTAATTACAGAGGAAGTGATTTTGCGGTTACTGCAGAGGTATTTTGTCTAGTTAACCACTCACGGTTAATCCATCTATGCTAAAAGGGGTTTTCCCCACTAGGAAGTTGACTGAATGTGTTGCAAGAATTTTAAACTGAAATATTCGCTGCCGGATCGATGACCCAATACTGTTACGTTTTGTTATATTGATCATATCTTGTCAACCAGTAAAGTAGAACGATCAAACCGTTTTCGATACAGCACACTATATAAACTGTGACAAGAAAATTTGCGTTCTTAAAGAGAGCAAAGTAGAATGGGATAAGAAAATAAACAAAGAAATGGAAATTTTCATGTCGGATAAAGATAAGCTAAAAAATGCAGTTTTCTTTGCTGAAATAATATAACACAACAAACTTTTATCAACAACTAGCACAATTTTTTTCCCAACCATAATTTCCCTTTTTTTTTTTATTATAAAAGTTATGAGCCTCATAAAACTTTAAATGCTTTACACTTTTCATATTTTTAATACCCTGATATGATTGACGTCCATAGTAACTGTTGCATATATACTTTTCAGTGTTGGTGCTTCTTCTGGTTTTTGAAGCAATGATCAATCAAAAATATGTCGACGGTTGTGCTGCAACTCCGGCAGCAGGTTGTCACCATAATCTGCCCCTTTATTTACTAGTTTTTAATTGATAAACACATGCGGACACGAGCACTACAGTAATTTTGTCTGTTTTTAGACTGTACATGCAACATAAATCCTGTCGATCTGTTCTTAAATTTTGCGGTGACAGGTCCGACAACTGATGCAAACGGTTGTGATTCTTATACGGCAACCTGTACATGTACTGCAGGAAACACAAATTGCCAAGTACAACTTTTTGATGCTGTTGCACTCGGCGGTAATAATGTTGGAAACGTTCCATTTACGGGCACTCTCACAATGACCGTTACATGTCCGCCAGGAAGCGATGGATTATTCTTCCGAGGCACACTGACATCGGGCGCAACCAGTACCACCATTAACAATTTTATGTCTGCAAATTGCGTTAATGCCTGAAGTTATGCAATTCTGTGTTCCAACTGCTCTTTATTCCCTGTTAAATGGACCTTTACTGTTAATTTATTAAAACCAATAAAATTTTCATTTTTCAAGTGTTTATGATGGCATATAAAGTGAATGCCTTCTTTTATCACTTTTCCAGCTGCGTCAAGTGGGCGTACCTCTTATTACCATTCATAACAAATTTAAGGGAAATTTGAATCTAAGGTTTAACACGCAATCTTTATTATGGTGTTTCATGAAGCTTTTGCCATTATTAAGCTTTTCTATCGACAAAAGAAGTTTTGAAAATGATTAAAATAGGGGTTTAGGAAGCAAAGCGGCGAGTAAAGGTTTAATAATTGGTACAAAGATAAAACTGTACCGCTTTCTGAAGTTTTTTTTTTACAGAAAAACTGCTATATTTTCGCAAAAATAAAGAGTTTTTTTCTTTAAAATGCAGTTTGATTTTTTCATCTTTTATGAAATGTTTGAGATCTTTACGTGCAATCAGCTTTTGCTTATGTTCACCTGATTTTCATTTCGGTAGTACAACGCAATTATATGCCTTTAAATTAACCTAAGCAAAATCAGCTTAAAAGTAAGAATTATATGATTTTTATTGTTAAACACTGTTTTTCAAGATATCAGAGTCATAATTTTTGTTTTTTCGCGTTTTACTTTCTTATGTTTCTTTCGCTTTCCAATATATACTGTTCGCCACATATAGTTCTTCTAAACTGGTGCTTTTCAATTATATACTTCTTGTAATCATTGCAAATAATTAAAGTTTATACAGCAATAGCTACATCTGTACTCTTCAAATATTCCGTCTAATACTCAAATTTTTTATGGTTTTTTTATTTATTATTCAATTATTATTTTTATTATTCAGTAATTTCAAGTTCATTCTTCAACGTTAGAATAAAAGCAGTCGTTGTTGAAAGTAAAAAAACATGTTAAAATTAATTGTTCTTCCACTAAAAAATAATGTGTGCTTCCTAGATTGGTTCCTCACAGATTTTTTTACATTTTACTTCTTTTTTCGTTATGTATTTCAGAAGTGCTTTTTACAATTTCACTCGCCAATAAATGAGACAGTGAAGCCATAAGGAAGAAGGAAAGAGAAGGAACGAGGAGAAAAGTGAACTATTTAACTACACTTTAATCAGTTGACTAACTTAAACATATTGCTTAGAAAATCTGATACTTTGAATTCAAATTAGTATCAGATGGCGATTTTTCATTTGTTTTTGCTGCCTCTCTTTTACATTTATTTGAAGAACATTCTGATATTATTTCACCTGAAGTTACTTTTATTTCTGACTTGTCACTGCATTTGAAGTTCATAATTACGTTAATTGCAAGGTTTATTTTACGCTGAATTTGCATAAAGTTTTAAGTGAGCCAATGTAATCTTAGTGTGATTTAGATGCTTTTTTTGGTTGGTCTAATAAGGATACAATTTTGGCTTTTGTACGGAAAATAGACGTATCGTTGGCCTGAGAAGAATTGCTTCTGCATTATGCCTAGGTGTCAAAATCAGCGCTGGTTTGCGGACTGCGTCTCAGATTTGTCAATCTCTGTCGGCGAAAAACTGGCACTTCATGACCATGGCTTCAGTGGCGTTAGAAGGTGCTCTCACTTGTTATAAAAATTGCTTAGCTGTTTTTGGTTTCGTTCTTTTGTGATAAACGAGGGAGTTAGAGGAGAGGAGAATTTGGAATAACTTGAGGAAACTATTTTTTAAGGATTTTACTAGTTTATTTATAAGCAGTGGAATATTGCGCAGGGCCAGTCGGTGTGCATTACCACTGTATCACATAAACATTAAACCACTGTTTTTTTTTGGTCAGGGAATATTCTAGCCATTTACGCTGAAATTTTAAAGACGGTACTCAGAAATCTGAACATACAGTGCGTTTAAGAGCTCAATAGAATAAAATTTTTGATTAATGATCACAAATACATCCTTTTTTTTGCAGCACATATTAAGATTTGCAAATATCTAAACTGAAGATGAAGAGAACTGTGATGACAAAATATTAACTTCTCAAAAACTGTTTGTTGAAATACCAACTCTTCACAGATATACTTTGCAAAGCAAAAGCTTCCCTCGTAAAACCTCAAAAGGGAGCAATCCTTGCACGGTGATCACTCGACAGTAAATGAATAAAATATTATGTTAATCAAAAAAAAAGTAATTGTTGACCAAAAACTTAACTGAAAATATCTTTTTTTCGCGGTGCTGACGAATTTGCTTTATTTCATAAACGAAACAAATTGTTCTTGCCCTCACTTTTTTGCGGTGTATCAATTAAACTATTAGCAACAGATTTTTTTTAAATTGATAATTTCTCTAAGTACTGCAAAATACGAACAAGCAATGGAGAAGAAAAATTTCAAATAAAACAATAAAAAAAGTAAATATGTAGATAAATTTTGAAAGTTGACTCAATAAAACGTAAATTCAAGGTTCCTGATGAGGTCATCAAGTAAGGCAAAAAACGCAAACTCTGTTAAAAAGTTGGCAAAAAGAAACAGTCAAAAAAATGTTTATCATAATTCAAGGGTATTCCATGTTTTGATTTAATTTTAAAAACTTGAAAACAAGCTGAAAAATTCTGATCATTGCCAAAGAAAAGTTGATTTCTTAGAAATTATTTAGAAGCCGAAAAAATAGAAACAAATAAAGGAAAAAAATTTAGAGTAGCCGTTTTCAATATCACAAAATTTAAGAATCGCAGTAGCTCATCTAACCTAATTAAATCTTCTAAAATTAAAAAAAATTTTTTTCTTAGATTTGTGTCAGTAATTGACAAATATAATCACCTTTCAAACCATGATTTTCTTCGTATTATTCAACAATTTTGAGGCTTTACTCTTGTTACTGCATGCACTGAAAAACTGACAAAAATCTTTCGGTCACAGTTTCAGTAAAAGAATTTAATTGTAAACTATGTTCGTGAATAATTGAATTTTTTTTTCTACAGACTCGTCTCTCTGCTTTCTCTTTTCAATACATTTAGTGTACAGAAAAAAAAGATACCAGTAAGCAGACTAGATGTTTTTGCAGTGATCTCCGTTAACGGAAATCCTCTGATCACAGAAATCTAGTCTTTTAAAAATTTTGCAACTTCATTTTTTTGACCCAGAAGTAACAGACCGTTTTTTTTCTTTTTGCTTTAGTAGAGATCATTTACTTTTTTTTCTTGTCTCGTTTCAGTCAGGTCTTCTCAATCCATTTCACTACGAGATGCTTTTGTTTCGTTACTACCTCCCGTAGAAAGCTTGTCAACAAAGTTGTTTGAATGAGTTTGAGAAGCATAAGGATTGTTGATGATAATTCGAATGCAACGTACAGTTAAGCTGGCGAGCTCAAAGAACTTTAATAATCAAATTTTTCAGATTCTTTGACGCGTTGAAAGTACATCTTTAAAATGCGGGTCTTTTGCAATTTAATCGTAACTGAAGCATACTTGTGGCTGTTGCAAAACAGCCTTGTTTAAATTGACTTTAAACCGCCAAATACGCTACATTAGATAGGTTAAAATCATATCCTTATGAATAAGTTCGTCATATATAGCGCGATTAACAGTGCCAGCTTCTGTACCGTTTTCAAAAATAGGAAATCTTTTCAGAGGACATAGTGAATACGTAAAAATCGCCACACAAGCACGCCTGTGGTAAGATTAATACTTTAAAAGTTGGAATCTTTTCAGTAGGCACCGATTTCTTACAAAATATGCTGCAGGTGTCTCTATTTGAAACAGGCTGTTTCTAGAGCGATCTGTGTTCCATAGCGAGTTGGTTTTGGTAATCTATAAGTTGTTGCAAACAGCGGCCACTTTCTTCCGTTTCTGGTGATAGATATCTGGAAAAAAACCCTAAGTTGTAAATGCGTAAAGAAGATTAAACGTGCAATACCGCTTTACCAGAAAGTTTTATCGTCTTGAATTGTTTGCATGGTTTTGAACACAGAGCACAACTGGTCTTTTATTGCATATTTGTCGTTTTGGCTAAGTGCAGAAGTTATTGGTAGAAATTACTGATAGAAGTTATAACTACAAATTTAAGAACCAAGATATACCTATCACTACAAAGCGTAATAAAAATTCAACAAAAATTTTTTAAACACTTATTTTTTTTATATCTTTCAATGAACAGAATCGCACGGTCTTGTTTAAATCAGCCGCCTGAGTTCTTCCATCTTTTTGCTTATAATTACCGGAATGATTGTCTTATTAGAACATATAGCCTGCAATTGGAATTAAAAAGAACGTTTGAAAACGAATAGAAATGACGAGTTATGAAACAAAAATGTAGATCCTTCATAATCACAGATGAAATGAAAAATCAGTATTTAAAAATAGGTTGTAAATTATAAACCGTAACGACCGTGCATTTAAAGAGAGCAATTTTGACTTCGCCGAAGATTACAGAAAAAATCGTTTCCGAAATAGATTTTTTCTGTCACTTGACTAAAAAATTTAGACTTCTGCATGTTTCCTAAAGTAATATATGTACCATTTTACGCTTTTTACACGTTCAGGATTTATTGATTTTGAATTTAATTTTAAAAATCCACTTTACATATGCAACATTTTTACAACTGTGCACACAAGTCAAGAAGGAGTTCTTTATGACACTGAATCAGTGAAGCAAGAAGGGAGAGGAAATCTCAACACATTCGTTTAACTGTTAACACATAGTGCTGACGCAAAATTGCCGATAGTTATATTTGAACCCCAAGCCGTCATTGTTGCATTATAAAAAAGATCCGAGCAAATGACATTCATTGCGCGACTG